CAGCCATTCCCCACTACTTGCCCTTCTGGTGAATCTAGTCAGCCTATCTAGAGGTCTTTGTTTTAGGAGGGTCAGCTGTTCCTCATCTAGCAGTAATCAGTTGTCAATATTCCTTTAGATAAGATTGGGGTCTGCTGTTCATTTTCCCAGTTCTATGCTGGGTTACTGTCTGGGAGTCCCTTTGGCCACTCTGGCCAACAACTCAAAAGAAGGCATCGCCTGTCTAGATGTATTTTTTCCCCCACCACCCACTTTCCAGCATGCCCCAGGTGCCTCTGTGGGCCACATGAAGCAGGTTTCTATCCAGTGCCTGCAGTGTCTCCGTGAGGCAGGTAACTTCCTCATACCATATATACTTCTGTGCCCATTTCAAATGCCGTTTGTTTTTTAAGAGAGTAGTTAATTTTAACATTAGTAAGAAAGGATTTTGAAAAGACATACAATGAAAACCTTGACAGAAAAGTTTAGAAAAATCTTAATAAGTCATTCATTCATATCAAGTAAACACATTTTACCAAGATACTTAGTATATGGAGAGATGGCTCAGCAGTTAAGAATACTGGTTGTTCTTGCAGAAGACCCGGGTTTGAATCCCAGCACCCACATGGCAGCTAATAACTGTCCATAACTCCAGTCCCAGGGGATCTGACAGCCTCCTCTGACCTCTGCGGGCATTGCACAACACGGGTACACTTACCTACACACAGGCAATACATGCATACACATAAAATAAAAATAATAAATTTTTTTTAAGTTAAAAAAAAAAAGTAATATAGGCTCACATCTTTAATTCCAGCACCTGGGAGGCAGAGGCAGGCAGATCTCTGTGAGTTCAAGGCCAGCCTGGTCTACATAGTGAGTTCCAGGCCAGCTGGGGCTACAGGGAGACCCTGTCTCAAAAAGGCAAAAAAAAAAAAAAAAAAGGAAAAAAAAATAATTAGGTCACATTAGATCACAATTAATGAGGGGTCTTCCCTCAAACTATTATCATTTCAAGGATTTTAGATTGGAGTTTTCTTTTTCTTCGTATTTATTTTTATTTGATATGCATGAGTATTTTGCCTGCATGTAAGTGCATCATGTGCATGCAATGCCCACAGAGGCCAGAAGAGGGTGCTGGATCCCCTGGAATTGGAGTTACAGACAGTTGGTAGCTGCCATGTGGGTGCTGGAAACCAAATCATAGTCCTCTGAAAGAGTCTCCCCCATCCCTGGAATTATTTTTCAATTAAAAAAAAAATCTTAAATATTTTCAATTACTGAGTATAATCTGAATGGCAGACCCAAAGACCCATGTCCTAACCCCAAAACCTATAATACCTTATATATAAATATAAATGTGTGTGTGTGTGTATATACATACATATTTTTTTAAAGGGACTTAAAGACCTTCAAAGGAGAAGCTTAGTCTGGATTATGTAGGGGATCATTTCAGCCACTGTATCCTTATCAGAGAGAAGGTAATATGAACATGGAACAGAGATGGAAAAAGCCAAGGACTGTCACCAGCCACCAGACGCTGAGTGGGAGCCTCTGGAGAAAGCACAGCCCTGCTGACAACTTATTTCAGGCATCTGGCCTCCAGAACTGACAGTGAGGGAATAAATCTCTGTTGTTTTAAGCCACTAAGCTGCCGTAGTTTATTACAGCAACTAACAAAAACTAATACCCAAGGGAAAGTTGTACACTAACTAATGTAAGTAATGAACTAGTAAAACTGGTGTCAGTAATTTGCTATTAAAGCACACAAAACTTTGAAATAAAAGTCCAATCATGAATAATAAATAAAACACCAATATGAAAAACAGAATAGGCCCAATTTTTCAATGCTGAAACACTCAAGCAAATTACAATTATTTACAAATGTAGATTATCATTAAGCGATCATAAGGGGACCTTAATAGCAAAACTTTTACCTAAGCTCTAAATACACAACTGAAACACCATAACAAACCAGATAGAAAAACACATTAATTTTCCCTTCTTTCTTGAGTCTCACTATGTACCCTAGGTTGGCCTGGAACACTTACTCCTCCTTCACTGCCTCGTGAGTGCTGGGGTTATAAGCATGTGCCACCATGCCTGACTTGATTATAATCTTTTTAACTAGAATAAAAAGTAAAGTAAGAGAATGGAAAACTGCTGAAAAGACAAGCAGATATGACTCCTGAAACTATGCATCACTGGGTATGAAAAACTCAATTATGTGATCTAGTTGAGTAGACAGAACTACCCAGAAGCTGGCAAAGGGAAAACAGTGATGGGGGGAGGTGTTTAATAAATCAAAGGGGGCCATTAACGCTTAGAAGAGGCCATTTGAAGAAAATCCCTTTTATGATTTAGTAGCCACTTGGTCATTCTGAGACTTATATGAGAAAAATAATAAGTTACTGTACACTCTCTAAGCTCAATGCCCTCACCTGTAACCCACCTCAGTGCCCACCTTAGTGTGAACAGTACCACCCCAGCATGAGTGAATGAGTAAGGAAGAACACAGCACTGCCCCAGGGTTTGACTCACTCCATAAATGGGTAACACAGGAGCTAACTAAACTTGCTTTCTGAAGCAAATGAAAATTTTCAGAGAATAGCTGCTAGATTTTAAAAAAGGACAAAAATGGTAGAATATTTTAGAAAGAACACTTTCTTAATTCTGTTGGTACATGGTACATGTTGGGGTCCCAGCACTTACCACATCACTAGCACTAGAGAACTCATTATTAACCAGACTTTCAAGAGCCATCCACCGAACTGGCCTGTTTTCATTGTCCCCTAGACAGTGGTAGTCCATGGGGAACAAGTCTCTGGAAAGAGCATTGTCTGTGATTTTCACTTGAAGAGTGTCATCAATGCTGAAAAGGAAAAACATGACCATCAAGACATCGGGGTAAAGAAGGCAGATGACTGTTACCCGCAGACACAATCCAAGTTCCACTGTGACTCCTGGAGAGAGCTCCAAAGTCAGGGAGCATTACCCATCAAGTGATATGGCAAGCTCAAGATACCTACACACAGTTCCTAGCAGCCAGATCTTTGTGGATCACTTCCCTTCTTGCCAGGTAGCTCATTCCACAGGCAATCTGAATAGCCATATGTACCAGATCTTGCTGGGAAATCGCCTGTGGTAACAAAATGACAAGGTTTGCAGCCAGTATTGAGCTAGTGATAGTGGCTAATTATTTGGTTCCATAATCCTATTATACCCAAAATTACTTCTTTGCACCCAAATACAGAGTTTTTAAAACTTATTCCTTAATGAATACATTCCTACAGCACTGTATACTATGCTGTTATCAATTACACCCTTATTCTATGATAGGATTTACCACTTATACAGCTGTGTCCTCTCATCTGTTACCTTTAGCTCTTTGCAAACAGCACAGAAGCTCAGTAAAGTCCTCTTTAACGAACACAGAATCTTTAAAGTAGCATTTCAAATGTATATTTGGCACTAATTTGTTCTTTCTTTCACAGTAGTTTTTAATTAGATTAGACCCCGGGGACCATTCTCAGCTAACACAGGTGTACAGCTCTCTCTGCTGATGCTGACATGCCCCTCTAGACGCAGGCCGGCACCGCAGGCTGACGGAAGAAGTCATCCCCTGCTCTGGAGTCACAGCCTCCAACCACTTGCTGAGAACTACAGTTTTAATCCTTTGACAGAACATATCATACATATTAAGCCAAATACTCAATGCATATCTGACCATTTATCATATTAAATTTAATAAGTATGATTTTTATCAATCTTAAAATTTAAGCCACAACATACAGCAAAGAGCCAAGTACCCAGTATACATTCTTATCAGTATCATAACATGTTTAGAATCTGAGCAAATATTCACACTGGAGTATACAGGTAGTGGCAAGAAAGAAACTCCTAAATGACTGGCATTTACAGTCAAGGACATTCACAATTACCTCCCACAATTCAGACCTCCAATCATCACCAGCTTTTGGCCCAATGTGGAGCAAATGGCTCTGTAAACGGTTTCCACTACTAGAAAGGAAATCTAGGACACATGTCTTCAAAGAGTTATCAGGACAATGACTGAGGTGATTATGAATAAACACACAATGAACATATAAAGGCAAATAGCATTGGCCAAGTGTACCTCGAAACAGGAATCATAAACCATCTTCATTTTAAAAGGTCATAAATATCTTCTCATTCATTTTGAGGGCTTTTTTTTTTTTTTTGGTAGGTTTTAGACACTCTATTTTCAAAGACATCAGAAATTACTGATATTTGGGGAAATTTTTCTCACCTGTGGATTATTGGCCTCTACTAATTTGCACTGCCGTAAAAACAATTTAAGATTCCCCCAATTCATGTAAGGCAGTATCACCATGGGCTTCTCACCTTCTTCTATACACACATGAGTAATAGGAAGAAGATTTCTATAAAATAATAAGTGGGAAAAATGCAAATGAAACCTAAAACCTTAGAGGCTTATTTTAAATAATAACTAATAAAGATAATCAAAGCAAAACAATATCCCAAATATACTTAAGCATATTATTATTTTAAAAAGTTACTTACAAATGTTCTATTACTTCTTTTTCTTTTTCTTTTTTTTTCTTTTTTTTTTTTTTTTTTTTTTTTTTGTCTTTTTGAGACAGGGTCTCTCTGTAGCCCCAGCTGGCCTGGAACTCACCATGTAGACCAGGCTGGCCTCTAACTCACAGAGATCCACCTGCCACCACATCCAGCCTAGAATGTTTACTTTTTAAACCAGATTTAAACAGTCCCATATATATAAGCCCACTTGCTAAGAAAAAGTTATACATGCAGAGTAGCTCCCTTTGTACTAGACACTCTGAAGACATCAGCCACAGTAAATTTTCACTCCAAAGCACAATCACACACACAGCTAAAAATGCCTTGCCCATGTGCAGTCACAATTATCACCCCACTTATTTCATCATCACACTTTTTGAAAGGCCCGATCTAGGCTACTGATAAGAATATGATCATCAGAAGCTTTCATTAAGAGGTTGAAACTCCCACAAAAGCCTGGTTTGGGCTAGTCACATGGAATTTAGAATTCAATTTTTGAAAGTAAGATTTACTATTGGGGTGATTATCTTTGGTTTGGCATTAGTTTTCAAACTTATAACATGGGAATCCCACTGATTACAAGTTGTTATGTGCAAAATAAACAAAGGATGTGGCAGACAATCCTGTTCCATTTTGTCTTCCATGGCACATACACACATCAACCTCTTGTGTAATGATAATCCCTCCACTGAGGTCTGGAAATGACTAATTTTTCCTAAGGTTGTAACTTTTGATGTAATTACTTCATCTCCACTAAGCTGAAAATAATCACAGGTGCTTAATTTTTATATTCACTGCTTTGCACTCTGTGCCATTACAATGTTTAATAAATATCTGAATCACAATACCTAAAGGTATTCCTACTTCTTAGTAAGTTCTGCTTCTGAAAATGTTTTAGAAATGAAGTAATATCAAACACAGAATGCTACATTAACAAGGACAATCAATGGGAGAGCAACAATGAAAAGTTACGAACAACAGGAATGCCCAAGAGTGATGAAAGAACAGTATGAGCTGCAACAAACTGAACAATCACCAAGGGATGTTATGAGAATGAATACGGAAGCTTAAGGGAAAGATACAAATTCACAGACTCACAGGATAATTACAAGTACAGAGGAAAAGAAAAAAGTTGTCTTCGAATTGTGGGACTGCAGTTAATTTCTGCTTTGCCTTTCTTTATGCCCTAAAAGCTACAATTAAACACATACCACTTTTTAAAAACTTATTCATTATATATATGAGTGTATTGCTTGCATGTAGGCAGGTACATCCATGTTGTGCAATGCCCGCAGAGATCAGAAGAGGGCATCGGATCCACTGGAACCACAGACAGTTGTCAGCTGCCACGTGGGTGTTGGGAATTGAACCCTAGTCCTCTGTAAGAGTAGCCAGTGCTCTTAACCACTGACCCATCTTTCCAGCCCCAACACATACCACTTTCAGTACCAGTCATAAACTCTTGCATGACCACTGTTGCACAATGGCAGGCAGTGGCTTGCCTTTGCAGGAGCTGCTAAAAGGGACAGAAAGCACTGCCACTGAGGACTTGGGGAGCAGCAGACCTGCAAAAGGCAGAGCTTTAACAGAGAGATCCCCTTGGGCGACTGCCTGCATTACAGCTGAAGAGTGGCAGCCATTATTTCATCATTTCAATGGCAAGAAACCCCACTCCATGGAGGTTAGGTAATCTCAAGGACAAAGACCAAGGAAAGAGAAGAGAACACAGGTGTCTGAGATTCTCCTAGGCTGCTGGACATTTCCTTCCACGGAAAAATGAGAAACACGTGAATGACTGCAGAGCCCCCTTTCCAACAATGACTAATGGTTCACCTTCAGGACCAGCCAATACCTAACCTCAGGAAGAGTATGGTGAGTTAGCCCATTGCTTTACCCAGGCTCCTTTCTTCCTGTCTGAATCGGTTTAGTAGAATTAATGGCATTTTGTCCAGGCACAAGAAATAGCTAATAATACCAAAGCTTTTATTGTATAACCCGAGGAGTAAAAACCCCTGGGAGAGGTAGAAAGTTTTATAAAAATGTTTCAAAGTACAAACAGCTGCTCTTCACTCTGCCTGCTTTACAGAGGAAAGGAAGACACAGAAGTCATGTTAAAACATGGAGCGAGCATTCTGAATTACATACCACAACCAGTTAAAAAGATAAATCTGAAACCAAGTGGCATTTCTTGCTGAACGTATTGAGTTTTCTTGGTCAATTCTACATGTTCTGAAGATTATTGTTTCATTTTTACTCTGTGCCTACCAGAGTTCTAAGTCTAACATGGGCAGCTGATGAATTAAGATCAAAGTGAACAGATACAGTCATGAACTGTCTATTGACACTGGGGTTACAAAGAAATTGTGGGGGTCCTTAGTCCACTTACAAAATGAGGTGGCGTGCCACAGTGAACGGGGAGCACGCACACTGTACTGACAATGCATTTTTTTCAGTACAAGTAAGTGTCCTGGTGTCACCTCACAGCCAAGATGAACAACGTGCTGTGACCAAGCTGCAACCTGTCTCTACGGGCCTCCCATCTCATCCAGTGCCCAGTGCCCAAAGCTTCCAAGTCAGTATTACCCTGCTTCATTCCCTGCAGATGTCTTGAGACTGCTAATTCATCATGGTGGGATGCTGAAAAGCCATAGAGCCTAAAACTGCATGAAAGAATGCTGCAAATGCTTGTTGGAACAATTTTTGAGCCAAGGCATGTTTAGGGCTACAGTGGGTCTAAAAGTCCTTCTTGGGGAAAATCTGGCTTTGTCTACATTGATCCCTGCCACGAACTTCTGCACTGATGGTGCAGGCCTTCATCAGGGCAAAAGTATTGGCTAGGTGTGTCAAGTCCTCAGCTAGCATGACACACTAGTAGAACACTGCAGGCACTTCCCTCAGAGTCTGCATAACAGAACATTCAGCACTCCCAACACTGCCAAAAATGGCACACCCAGCTGATCGCGTCCAAGCACTCTGCCAGAAGCCCAAAGGAAACAAAATGTGTTTTTTTATATGGCCTAAGGGAGGATTTGCCACCGATGCCTCTGCACGGGAAGACTTTCATTCTTGGGGCTGAACCCAGCCAATGGAAGACAATGTTTTCAAGCAATGTAGCCTCAACTACATCAAGACACATCTTCACTGCTCCTCAGTATTGTGTGCTCAATTTTTTTCAAAAGGTTCTTTTTTATTTTAATTTTCAATGAAACTAAAAACTGTGAATTTGTTCATTATATTAGTCAATGTCTAGAATATATAATAAAACCTAATAAGGCATCTATCTTGGAATTTGAACGTGTAAGAACCTTTCTATTTCTCCCCCCCCCCAAAAGTACATTCTTTATCTTCTGTTACTGAGAGTTATCGACTTTGAATACTTGCTTCATCTCAGCTGAAGAATTCTTTCATGTTTGATCCCAGCACAGCTGTCCTCTTACTCACTGATAATTTCTTTTCTCTTTCACCACAATGCCAAAATACCATTTCGTTTTCATTACCATTGTACTGATTTGAATGTGGCGGCCATCTTTTTAGGCCCTCAATAGCCAAAGTAAAAATAAGATTAAAAATAAAGCTCATCATACTTTTTATCACAATGCAATCAATTGCTAAAGTCCACTGATATTAAAATCGATGGTGCCCTTTGATACATCATTTGACTTTTCAGAAGTTCACAAACCCAATGGGCAAGACACAGCTCCATTTTTCAAACATATGATTAAGTTGTCAGTAGGCATATAAATTAAACTGACTCTACACTGTGTGTATGTGTGTGCGTGTGCATGCGTGTGTGTGTGTGTGTGTGTGTGTGTGTGTGTGTGTGTGTGGTGCACATGTGCACATAGAAGCCACATGTTGATGTTGTGCCTTCCTTGATTCCTTCCCATCTTTTTTAGGACATGGTCTCTCACTAAACCAAGAGTTCACGGATTTGGTTAGGGGGAAAGAATTTATAGCTACCAACATGAGAGCCTGGAATTGTTCTGTTACAATAAAATGCATATTACTTTATTAATGACACTGTGCTCCTGTACAAAAAGGCCCTTTAAAACAAAGTAAACTAGAAACACACTAAAGTGTTATGTCTAACTTACTCTTTATATGGATAGATGGATAGATATCTATTTCTAGATACACAGACCTCTAGACACAAATACACACATGTATGCACGCACACAGAGGAAATGTGGCAGATGCTAACCCTCACTATGTTCAGCGGGCACTTTACTATACTTGTCACTTGTGTTCTGTATGTTTGAAATTTTCATCGCAAGTATCATCCTACTTTTAAAAGGGAAATTGGTTGATAAATATGTACGAATTATTTTCTGAAAGTTCAGTTACGACAAACCTGATGTGGGCTTACAAACCGTTCTCAGTTTTCTTCTTTGTGCTTTAATCTTTGCACATTTTGCTCAGTGAGTACGCATCTACTTTTATATTCAGAAAAAAAAAAAGCCATCCCAAAAGGCTTTCAAGTCAGAACTAAACATAATGTCCTTAAAATAAATGAAACAGAACAGAGCAGCGCTGTTAGCACTGACAGCCAGTGGCTCAGTGGCTTCCGCTCACCTGTGATGAAGACCTCGAAGCTTGCAGCTCTCAGTAAGCATCATCGTCACCTGGATTTCAGAAGCTTGATCTACATAAAGAGTAGAAATTGCCTTGAATCACATGGTATCCACAACAGTAATATTTACTATTATTAAAGATCTTTATTTTAAGGCAAAGTTACAGCAAATCTAAACAGATACAGCTTAAAGTTCTACTGCAGCAGACAGCCTTACTAAACAGATCAACTTTCACAGAAATTCTTACATAAATATTAGAAATTCTGTATGGTTCCATAAAATAAAGAGAAAAAGTAGTAGAAGTTTAGAAAAACATGTAAGACTTAAAGAGGGCTAACTTCTTTTTTAAGATATCATACAATAAGGAAAAAATTGAAACAGAGAAAGCACCCAACAAAATTATAGAATGACTCTCAGTCTCACTCCTACGAAAAACTACTCAAATTCAACTAGGAGATGCCATTTCCCCATCAGACTGATATAGACAAAATATCCAGTTACTGCCAGTTTGGTCAAGTATGTGTGCAAACAGGCTTATCAACAGTCTCTTGGAAGGGTGGGAGAAGCAACAGGTAACAAACATGAACACACTTTCACTGTGTGCCATCAATCCCACTGGACTAACAAACACAGAATCCATCACAGAGAGCTACACCCTAGAATACACTGTAGCTCCTCACTAAACAGAAGACAGGCTTATGTGTGCTGGCAAAAAAGACGTACATTAAATTTGAAAAGCAAAGTGCAAAACTTTGTTGGTATGGTGATTTATGTTTAAATACAAAATTATTTGAAAACTTAGAACTCCCAGGTATTTTCTCCCTGACGCATGAAAAGAACCATGTTGTTTGTGGTGGTTACTTTTGAGGTGCGATAATATATATTATATATGCTCTCTAAATTTACAAACATACAGCTATCAAAATAAAATGTGACCACTGTGGTTCTGACTGGAGACTATAATCCACTTTATTACTTTCTTCTTCCTTCTCTGTGGTTAAAAGCAAGCAAGCAAAACTAACAGTGAATGAGAACTTTAATATACAAGTAGTCAAAACTAGGATCTTTTCTTTTTTTTTATTTTTTTAAAATTTTTTGGGGATGAGGTCTCACTCTAGTCCAGGGCAGTCTCAAACTCTTGATCATCCGGCCTCAGCTTGAGTGCTGAGGTCATAGGCATGCTATATGATGCCTAGCTCCTTGAGGGCTAAGATCATAGGCATGCTATATGATGCCTAGCTCCTTGAGTGCTGAGGTCATAGGCATGCTATATGATGCCTAGCTCCTTGAGTACTGAGATCATAGGCATGCTACATGATGCTTAGCTCCTTGAGTACTGAGATCATAGGCATGCTATATGATGCCTAGCTCCTGTGGGTTTTGGTCCAAAGTAGCAAAAGAAATTGAAAATTAGCTTTTAGAACAATGTTTTTTAAATAAAACCATGGAATACTGTGGTGGTTTGAATAAGAACATCCCCCATAGGTTCCAAGTATTTGAATACTTGGCCCCAGCTGGTGGTGCTGTTTGCTGAGGTTTAGGAGGCATGGCCATGCTGGGGGAAGCGCATGGTGGGAGTGGGCTTGGAGAGTTCATAGCCACATCCCTCCAGTTTTGCTCTTTCTGCTTCCTTCCTGTGCTGCTGGAAGGTGTGGGTCCTCAGCCTCATGCTCTGGCTGCATTCAGCCATGTCTCCCTGCCATGGTGGACTCTTATCTCTCTGGAACCATAAGCCCAATAAACTCTTCTGTAAGTTGCCTTGGTCACAGTGTTTTATCATAGCAACAGAAAAGTAACCAATACAAATACATTTATCATTATTTTTAGTATTGGTAAAGTACTGCTTTCCTCCAGAAGAACTTTAAGCTATCAAACATTTGCACAAATGTATAGGAATTGCTCATCTTACAGAGATCAATGTCTTAATAACACATAAGAATGTCTCCAATGTTTGAAAAGTTATTTCCATTAAGTAAACAGTATATTTCAGTTATGACCTTGAAAATGAGTTTAAACGTTTTTGTTTTATTTTGTTTTTTGGTTTTGAGACAGAGTCTTCCTGTAGCCCCAGCTGGCCTGGAACTCACTACATAGACCAGGCTGGCCTCAATCTCACAGATTCACCTGCCTCTGCTTCCCGAGTGCTAGGATTAAAGGCATGTGTCACCAAGTCCAGCTGAGTTTGAATTTTTTAAGCATGCTTTCTGAATATCAAAAACTAAGAAGTATAATTTATTCTTAAAAAGACTTCAAAGAAACCAATAACTAATTTTATGTTAACAATAAAATTACTATTAATAACTTCTGAGCTTCTGACAAATATTAACAGGGAATAAAAAAGATTCAAACAGCTGGCAAAGTCAAGAGCCATATTTTCCACTCCCACCTAGAAACATGCTGACCAACAACAAAACCCAGTGTACTGAACTCAGGGACCATAAATGTTACATCTCCTGAAAAGTAGAGCTATCATGCTAGCATATAGCTATACCTATAATCCCACATACAGCTACACAATAGCATACACCTATAATCCTACAAAGTAGGAGGCTGAGGCAGGAGGACCAAGAGTTTGAAGCCAGCCTCAAACATAGCAAGGTGTCATCTCAAAAAGCAAACAACAAAATAACAACAATGACAAAAAGTGGATCTGTTCAAGCTAAGAAACCTCAAATTTCAATTGCTTTCAAGTCTACTGGAATGTCTCCTTGTTCCATTCTTTCTCCCATAACTTATTTGTGCCTCTTTTTAGACAGCTTCTCTTAGTTAAGATCTCGGTAAGATGCAGAATGAGTAAAGGAAAAGCTAAGGATTCAAACCATTCAGTGTATTTAGAGAAAGGAATGCACCATGAGTGTCTACTGGAAAAACTCTAGTTGTCTGAAAATTGCCTAAAATTTGGGACCCCTTAATAAATAGCAGAATGCCTTGACTGCTCTGTCTATAACACAATTTCTAGCAAAATTATGGCCAGAACTATCAGGGATGATGAGGATTTTTAGAGGGTTAAAAATCAGAGGACTTGGCCCAGTTACCAAGCATTTACCATCTACTAAACTAGAAAGGAGATCCATGTATGACAGCATGGTCTACAGCAAGGTACAGGTGAAATGGATAATGACCTAAGAATTTTCAACTAGAGAAGAAATAATTTTATCTATTCAGTATGAAAAATTCATTTTGCTGGACAGCTTTTTTTGGGGGGGGGCTGTTGCTGAGGATGAAAACAGGGTCTCCCACATGCTAAACAAACAGTCTACCACTGAGCTATATATCCTTAGCTCCTAGTCTTAACCCTTTAACTTTACACAGTGAAAAACAAAAATCTATCTTCAAGATGTATACATTTGGAGCTGGAGAGATGAATTTGTGGATCTCATGCTTACCATTTAAGCATGAGGACCGGAGTTTGGATCCCCAAAACCCATATAAAGGTGAATGTAGCAACACATCTGTAATCTCAGCACTCAAGGGGTGGAGACAGGGGATCCCTGGAGCATGCTGGCTAGGTAGACTAACTGAAACAGCAAGCTCCAGGCTCAGCAAGAGACCCTGCTTTCAGAAAATAAAGTGGAGCGTGATTGAGGAAGATACCCATTGGCAATCTCTGGCTTGCATTTTATCTACACACACTCAAAATACATGCAAACACACATACACACATGTATATACACACCACACATAGACACGCAAAAGAAAAAAATATAGCCATTTGAAAACGGTACCATAAAATAATTTATATTCTAGAAATTACAAGGAAGCACAAAATGATTTTTAAAACTTGCTTACTTCCAAAACTACAAGTTCAGCAGCTAGTATAAAAAATGAGAATTTAAAAAAACCAATTTATTTATGCTGTGGAATTCAATTTCATAACTGATGACAAAAGATTCAAGTTTCTAATTTCAGTCTTTGGAAATTAATGCTGGATATCCATTAGTTCTCTGTTCAAAATTATTCATTTAAAAAGAAAAATAAAAAAACTCCAATGTCAATCTTCCCCATACACTCTCTGGGGCTAGAGAAATGGTTCAGTGGTTAAGAGCACCGGCTGCTCTTGTTGAGGACCTGGGTTTGGTTTCCAGCACCCACATGACAGCTAACAGCCATCCATAACTCCAGTTCCGGAGATCAGACACCCTATTCTGGCCTATGTGGGCACTGCATATACATGGTACACTTACATACATGAAGGCAAAACAGTCATACACATGAAATAGAATTTTAAAAAAAAAAAAGCACTACCCTCTAAAAAAAAAATAAAAAAAAACCTCAAAATTGATTTTTTTTTTTTTTTTATAGAACTACTAATTGTGCGGCATGTGCTGAAGCATGAAACTCTGTACTGGAACTTCGTCAGCAACATGTAGTTTCAACTGAAAAGAATAACACTCCAAAATAATAATCTTGGAGCTACTCAATCACAGGGTGTTATCGCTACACAAGAGCCCTGCTGCACTTCCTGTCACCCAAGCCGTGACTACACACTGGCTAAGGACTCACTGTGCTTTCTCTTATTTCTGTGCAACTCAAAAACAGTGTAATCACAATGCTGGGGTAGAGAAACAATCAAACAGCCATAACTCAAGCACACACAGAAAGAGTTTAACATTAAAAGAGTCCCAGTATCCAAAATGTGTTTTCTTATTACTATTATTTCCTGTTCTCCCCCTTCTAGTTCTAAATCAAACCAATTCTGGGTGCAAACCTCTTTCATTAACTCAAGACTCACTGAAATCCATAGAATATTTACAAACCCAAAAGAAAGAGAAATAAGAGAAAATATTTTCTTAAAAAAATAATAGAAAAATAAAAGGTGGCCAGCTCTTTAATTAAATGTATGGTTCAAACTCCATGTTTACAAAGAGTAATATATAAACTATCCTTCAAAACTAGTCAGAAAGCCTACTGGAATCTAACTTCAAATATTAACCTTTAGTAATTATCAGCCTTACCCAGCTGTGAACCCTGAAAGTTACAATAACAACTGGCCTGGCAAGATATGCCCACTGGTAGGATATTGGCATGAATGTTATTTGAACAACCAACCATCTTTTGATTGGATTTAAGGCCTACTTCACAAGATAGAGCCCGCACCTGGCACTGTTATCAGGGCTAATTATGGCTAGCCAGGTCACAGACTGTAGTGAAGAACCTACTACTATTACTCTGCTAAACAGACATAATTAAACCAATTCCTATTAACTTATTGTTATATCCACAGATTAGGACATCTCTCAACTCTTACCAGAGAAGCTGCTTCTTACAGAAGATGATGATTCGGAGGCCCACAGCTGCTCAATGTGAATAGAATAAGAGACTTTCAAGTGCTCAGCCCTAAACAGGACACCTATATTAACCTCTCTCCTCCCAAGGCTCAGGGATCATTGAGGAAGATGGAAAGATTGTACGAGCCAGAGGTGGTAGATGAATACAAGAAAATCATGTTGTCTGGATACCACAGGGTAGTTGCACATATGAACCCACAACACTTGCAACAGCATGCACCAGACCTACACAAACCCAAGTCAGACAAAAACCCAGGATAGATGGGGAAGGTGGGTAAGAAGCCCTAGTCTCAGCTGAGGAACTATTGGCAATTGACAGCTGCTAGGAAGAAGAGAGTCAGTTTTCTTTAAGTGTGTGATGCTGGGCAGATTGACCAGGCTCCAGGGGATGAACCCATAACCAAGAGCATTTGGAGAACACAGATTAGACTTGATAGGTCTTTAAATAAAATGTGTGTATGTGTGTATGTGTATGTGTGTGTGTGTGTGTGTATTATAAATATATATAAAATAGAGGACATAAAGTTGGCAGAGGGTGATATTAAAGTGAGGGTGGATATGGGGGGAAATCTAAATGTGATCAAAATGTACCATGAAATTCATGAAGAATCAGTAAAAATATCTTTAAAAAATATTAATCTCTGAAAGGATTTTTAGAGCTGGGAAGGAGAGGGGTAAATAAACAGATACTAAACAAAATGAGTTAAACAATTTGTTTAGAAATGATAAAAGGGGTATGTGTGCAGGTGCATTTTTAACAGCCTCAAACAGGCAATTTTGCTCAGTTACAAGCAATTATAAATTTGAAAGACTTTTTGGTTAGACTGGTAAAACCCAAATTTTTAGAAACAATAAGCATAAGCCTTTCATACTGCCATGGATTCCTTTAGGTTTAGAAACATGGTTCTTTTAATGTAACTGTCAATCTCATAAAACTTTGTCATCTTCTACTCAAAACTAATTTTTCCCTCCATCTCTGCAGAGTGCTAAATCTATATTTCAGAAATTAGTATTTTATTGGGCTGAGGAGAAAGCTTAGTCTATAAAAACACTTGCCATATAAGCATGAGGACCAAATTTGATAGCCAGGTAAAAAAAAGTCAGACAGGACCTCTGACTTATCTTCACATAGATGGAACTAGTAAAAGAAAGGAGCCACAGCCTCCTCCCAAGCCCATGTGACCCATGAGGAACAGATCCTCCAACGACCTTAAGTGTAAAAATAAACTGATTTATTTGGGCTAATGTATGGTCTTAAACACCCAAAAGGAAAGTATATGTACTAGTCACTTTTCTGTTGCTGTGATAGAAACACTGACCCAAGCAATTTATAGAAGGAAGGGTTTTTTTCGAGCTTACGGTTCCAGGGGAATTACAGTCCTTCATGGCGGGGAGGCATGGTGGCTAGAGGTGGCTGGAACATGAGCAGAAGAAGTGAAGCTCTCACATCATCATGCAGGCACAGGAAGCAAGAGACTGACCAGACATCTGGCAAAGCTTAAGAACTCTAAGCCCACACCCAGTGACATGCTTCCTCCACGATAGCCACACCTTCTAAAACCTCTCAAAACAGCGCCATCATCTGGGGACAAAAGGTCTAAACACTTGGAGCCTATGAGGGACATTTTCATTCAAACCACCACAGTATAAACAAAGAGTAAAGTGATCAGTATATTTCTTTAATAAGAGTTCAAGGGATTACACTTCCCAGACATTAGGCTTAAGTTCATATAAGAAGTTATATAGACAATTATTTCACATTGATGACTTTGTTCCTAATCAGAAAGTCCTGCTCAGATATAAGACTTCAAATCCTGGTCTGCAATGCTGTAGTGCCCACCTATAGCTAAGGGAGACAACCCACTACTGTTCTAAAATGATGGATAAATTTGTCTTCTCCCCCTATCTAGAAGCCTCTAAGGGGGAACTGACACTGATTCTAACCACTCCAACAGCTATCAAACTGCCTGAAAGCAAATCCTGAATCCATCACTCTAGAGTCCAGACTTGGGAGACAAAAGAAAAATGAGGAGGAACCCAATAGAGGGACGCTTTTGGAAGCTCTCATCAAGAAATCCCAATGGACTCTGATATAAACATCTGAAATTTGCCGTTCTTTTTTCTGGTTCCCTGTCTAGAATTTGTAATGCTAACTACTCTTGCCTTTATTTCTCCTTCACATCTCCTATTCACCAGTCAAGGACTTTCTTTTCTCCCTACAGATAAGAGTTATATAATTTGGGAGTCTTTTAGATAGACCCACTGAAGGGGTACCCCAATTGCCTCACCCCACGTCCCTGTTCAACGTGGAAGAAGCCAGAGCCGTCTGCATCCCTATTCCATACTGGCAATTTGGGTAACCTCTTCAGAGGATGGTGTGATAAGAATAGGAGGTAGGAACTGGATAGGCAGTTAGGGTAAAAAGGCCCCAAAGAAAAGTAGCCAGTTTCTTGGATGAAAGTCAAAATGTCCTTGGGCCTCTTAGCAACGTACTCTGTTCCTAAGGCCAAAAGTGTCTAAAGTTTTGGGGAGCTCTTATCTAATCCTTAAAAGATTTTAGGGTTACCTCTTCAGAGGGAGGAATGTTAGAGTAGTCAAAGCCCCATTTAAAAAAACAGAAAGAAAGAAAGAAAGAAAGAAAGAAAGAAAGAAAAAAAAAAGAAAGGAAGAAAGAGTACATGAAATTTTTCAGGAAAAAGGGATGGGGAGATATGGGAGGAGTTGGAGGGGAAGGAGTGGGCATAGATTTGATCAAAACACCTTATATGCTCTTGCTGCACCAAGTGAAATTCTCAATAAATTATTAAAAAAAAAAAAAGTCAGGCATGGAGGCATAGGCTTGTAATCCTAGCATTATGGAAGCAGAAACAGAGGGATCCCTGAACATGCTTGCCAATAAGCCTAGCCTAATTGATAAGCCCTGAGTTCCGGTGAGAGATCCCGTCTCAAAAAACAAGGCAGATGTCACCTGATAAATGATACCTAAAGTTGACTCCTGGCCTCTGCATTACACATATGCATCAAGGGGTAGGGGGAGGGGCATTATACAGCACGTAAGAGAAAAACAGAGGAAAGAAAGGACAAACAGTGCATATCTACATAGGGTGGATCTGGGGGGTCACTTAATTGTTTTTTTTTAAATAAATGTCCAAATTGAGAGAAAAACTAATGACAATGTTTTCTTAGGTGGGATAAAAAGATGGTACCAAAGAGTTTTAAAAGGAAAACTCCAAATTAGATACAGCAACAGTGAAGTCAAGTAGGTGCACTTTAATTGGAAGCTGGAGTAATATCTAATAATGTTCAATAAGTTAGAAATTTATAAGAAGTGAGGAGGACCCAATTCTCAAAAATTAGCCTCATGATCTAAATAAATATGGACTATTTTAAAAGGTCTAACACGCACTGAGATACAGAGACAGAATTTTGTTAGTATGAGCCATGCACAAGAAAATTATGGAAGTAGTATGCAAGAAAATCCTACCTTTAACTGTTTTTACAAATGTCTGTTTTTCTTTATTTGGATCTTTTTCATCTACTAAAATCCCATGGAAAATACGCCCAAAAGTACCTAAAAGGAAAAATAACATTAATGAGGCCATATGATAATCTTCATAACATTACAGTATAATACTTTCTGGCACAATGTAACTTAAACATAATATGGCATGTGTGGTTGACATTACTCTAGCTTTGGAATAAAATGTCATAAACCACTAGTTTTTAATGAATTAGAAGTTATTTCTAACTATGCAACACTGTGTCTTTAGAAATACCGTATCTAAACTAATATGGGAATGTTTTATCTTGATTTCCATGAATAAATTATTAAGCAGTCAGGAGCACTGCAGCACACTGGCAGGGTGTCAACCCCTAGTAGCTTCCTCAAAGCAGCAGTAAATGGAGAAAATGGACTCTGTGCTCTGCTGATGCAGACCTTCAATGAAGAGAAGGCAGGGAGTGCAAAGTCTAGGGCTCCATGTCTTCTGCCACTCATTATCTAGAAGGTCTCAGACAAGCGGTCTGGGCTCTCAGATCATTGGTAAAAGTGTGCTCCTAAAAACTCTTACAGCAAAGAGAGCAGTTATGACCTTTTGTGGGGGCAAAACAGTGGCTAAAAATGAACTATGAAAATCCATACAAATTTATTAGCAATTTCCTGACTGCTTTTTAAAAAATCTTTCTAATGAACTAATCATCAAAAATTAATGTCATGGTACTCTTTCTCACAAGAATATTTTTTACTTTCTTTCCTTCACTTTAACTGTGCTGTGGATACCACACATCCCTAGGGCTTGCTTTCACTTTAATGTCTTTCACTTTCAGTACTGAAGTTACTTGTGCCTATCTATATAAAGTTCCACAGTGGCACTGAGACACAGAGTAACTCGGATGCTGGAGGCAGAAAGTCTTTGAGTAATCTTAAGACACTCTGCTGACTGCTGGCTCCTATCTTCCTTGGACCCTCTGGTCAGCGCACTGTGACAGCTCTTCCCTTCCTGCTCTGCTCAGCCTTCCCTTGCTCGTGCAAGCTGCTGCCCTCTCCCACCACAGCAGTACAGGAACTCCTGCTGTCTCCTCCTCCCCATATCTAGACACATTACATATTCAAACATGGAATTACACAGACCTTAAGAGTAAAATGACTGTGGATATGGGAACCACACACTAAGAACATGTGTACAGACTGCCTTACCACAAGGTCACAATGAACTATTACAGCTCTGAAAACATCAGGGAAAACTCCACCTGGCTCTGAATTTCCTCTTTTCCTCAACTTAAGACACCACAACAGATTACTTACTATATCCTGTTTAGGGAGCCAAAGAACCTAAAGCATAACATTACTTATTAGTCTCTCATTCCTTTAATTCTTTAGGAAATGCTAGCTGGTCTATTTACTCTCTTCAGACAGATCTGAAAAGTAGTTATTCTTAGAACTAGACAACCACAAGAGTGGTATTCATACACCAAAAAAAAACAGACTAGGAAAAACAAACAAACAAAATCCCTGCTTCCATTAACTACCATTTGCTATGGAGGCAGTTTAAGTTCCTTACTTAGCAGTGGCTGATCTCCAAATACCCCAAGAAACATGAATAATGGGCTCCTATGTACCCCAAACATTCCAAAAGGGATTACAAAGGAAGAAAGAGTATTGTCTATTTAAACAATGTGAAAAAGTTCATGCAGTATTTTATTATTAATTTCTGTCCTCATCTTTCAGCATCTCCTTAATCAAGACCCTAAAATGCAAACCAGAAAGCAGGAACCAGCAAGAGGGGAAGGAAAGAGCAGTGATATGCAGAAGTACTCATTTTGCTAATTCACTCAATGTGCATAGTTCATCTAATCTTATAATGAGTCTAAGGGTTTTAAAGACTATTATGTTGTTTAATGCTACAGAAAATCTAAGACACTGAGTGATTTCTCTAACGTCATATAGGCAACAAACCATGAGACTTCTACAGAACTTGAGTCTAACTCCAAAGCCCCATTCCAGCTGCTAGAACACCTACATGGTCATTAAAGAAAAAAATCAGTTGAAATATTTCAAGAGACTCGCCAGGTATTGATTACTTCAAACAAAAGAATAAAACAGAAAAGGCGCCCTTAAAGACACCAAACACTTAAAACATGCTTTATCACACTTCAAAATCAAGGCATGCACCAAAGGTATATAATAAGGCACATTAAAGTCTAAAGACAGGGAAAATGAAAATCATTTAAAAAAAAAACTGAAAATTTTGAAGTAATAAATACCTTCTTGGAGTACATCTTTTAGGGTTATCCTTTCCCTAGAGATTGCTATATCCTTCACCTTGGCTTTTGCCTCCAAAAGAGTGACACTTCTCAAGTCGTTCTTCTCTATCCGCAAGGTAGGATAACCTGAGGAGCCAACAAAGCCAAACCAAGTAATATAAATACCCTATTATGGCATTGAGGTCAACTAGTCCATTACAACCTCAGGACTCAAGTCACAGGATGAATGAAACAGTATAAAAGCACACATGTACACACATGAACCAGGTGAGTTACTGATGAAGGGCACATTCCATGTTAAAGGAAAAGGTTCCCAATGTTAAAAGAGTTAAAACAAAAAGCGCTAAAAATAATATTACCATCACTTTGAATATCTTTTAGACAAATGAAACAAGCCTGGATTCACAGAATTTAATTTAATCCTTCTTAAGGGAAGTTTTTCCTCTCAAAAGATTTTTTAATACAATCATATAACAAAGAACTTTTCAAATGAAGAGATATTTGAAAAACCATCTTTTCTAAAAAAATATATCATCAATTTTCTAATAAAACACATCGATCATTCTTGTTTGTACTTCCAAAACTCAGTCTCGTCATGTCATTGTGAGATTCAAATTTAAGTTCCCTCAATTCCCATTCACTCTCAATACAATAACAGCAAAAAATAGAATTTACAGGCATACATTAAGGTTGTCATGGCAAGAATAAAATCACAATAAAAGGAAGAACCAGTATCAGCAAGCAGACACTGAAATGGCATTTCTACTGACTTACTGCCTTTGATAAACACTGGGAGAGAAACCAGAAGAACTAACGGGCTATGGCAATATGCACCAGTGGCCAGCAGAAGCACTACTTGAAGGGTTCCAGGAAAACTGTAACAGATGCAGGCTGACGACCCCTGAACCCAGTGATCAATCTGAGTGTATGTGGGTCATTTTATATATTTAATCCTTCCTGGAGTCCTCTTAGTGTCTTGGATTTGTGGTCTGTTCTATTCTGTTACCTCAGAAAATTCTTGGACAACAAATATATTTTTAAATATCTTTTTCGGTCCCTTTCTTTTCTTTCTGAGGTATGGCCACACTAGGTAGCCCAGGTTGGCTCAGAATTCATGACCTTCTGCTTTAGCTTCCCAAGTGCTAGGATTTTAGGCATGTACACACCACCATATCACACCGTGTTCATTTCTTCATTCTTCCCTTCCCCCCCCCCTTCTTTTTTTGAGACAGGGTCTTAGCCTAGAACTCCTTATATAAATCAGGCAGGCCTCAAACTCAGAGATCTACCTGCCTCTGCCTCCTGATATTAAAGGCATATGCCACTATGCCCAGCCTTTTTTATTCATAAAACAACTGTATTTTTATTGAGCCTTTAAAAGTATTTTGGTGTTAGCATACACAATAAATGAATTATCTGGTTCCTTATGGTAATGTTCAAAATTAAAAGCAAAAAATAAGTAAATTTCTTATTAATGGCATATTTTAAATATATAAATGAATTTTCATTGGCATTTAAAACTTTTACTTATTTTTATTTTGTGTGTAAGGGTTTTGCCTGTATGTATGTAAGTGCATCTGTAAGTGCAATGCTTGTGGAGGTCAGAAGAGAGCGTCAGATCCCCTGTAACCAGAGCCATGTGGTACTGGGAACTGATTCTGGGTCTTCTATAAGTGCAGTCACTGCTTTTAACTTCTGAGTCATCTCTCCAGACCCCCACTGACATTTTAAAAGAAAACATTTTTAACATATATAGTCACTGAACTATTTACTTTATAAGATCATGTTTATAATTAAGAACTGGCCCAAATAAGCAAAGCTTGGTATCTAAAGATTAAAAGCAATGGTGTGCCCTTTCTGAATAGGTATGCCTTTCACATCTATCATGGTATTTTATCACACTTCTTCTTTTGTTGACAGTGACAGTAGGTACTGTCATGATTTCTTTTTAAAAAATTTTTTTAAAGTTTACGTGTGTGTTTTACTTGCATGTACATAAGTACACCACATATTTACAATGCCCACAGAGGCCAGAAGAGGGCAACAGATTCCCTGAAACTAGGGTTACAGATGGTTGCTAGCTGCCACGTGAGTGTTGTAAACTGAAGCCAGGTCTTCTGCAAGAGGAGCCAATGCTTTTAACCACTGAGTCATCTTTCCAAACCTCTTAAATTTCTTTTAATCCAGAATACCTGCCTTTCTTTTTCGGGCCACTGTTGTAGTGAAGGAGATGGATCAATTATTCTGCAGAACAATGGGCCTCTCTGCTCCTTGACATATCATCTAACTTGTCCCTCTGTCCCTTTATTACTATGGCCTTAATGAAATTCAGGTATATTTTTGTGGATTGGTACATCATATCCACAGGTACAAAATAGCTAGTTGTTTCACTTTTAGTAAATTTTATCGGTGGATTCAGGGAAGAATCTGATCCCTAAAGGATAAAAGCCCCCCCCCCATTTCCCTTTGTTCTTAGGGTTTTCATCAACAATAATCTTTCCTTAATCAGGTATTTTCTGACAGGTTACAAATGTCATTTTTTAATTATATCATTCCTTTTTACATTTACTAGCTGGAAACCTTCTGTTCTAGTCAACCAGTATTATCTGGTTACCCTGCAATACATTCATTTAACCAGTTGTCAGAGTAATAAGGTATTAATAGAGCCCTGGTTATCAATTATAATGAACATATTTAAATACTATAAATGTATGGATTTTTACAGTTTATGTTCCAATCTGTTGCAGTCACTATTCTCTTAGATGTGCAATGGCACCATCTTTGGTAGGTAGAAGCCCTTCAAGTGTGCAGCAGCACCCTTAGTGTCTTGCCCAGCAACAAGTCTCAGGGCTTACCTTATTCACTTTCTGACCCAGATCTAGAATCCATTCTTTCTCCAGAGATTCTGATCCTTTTAATGGGAAACAGTTAAGAAAAACCACAAAAGGGTACTGGGAGGTAGTTTTGATTTAATTTTATTAAAAAGAAAATAACCAAAGAGGACAGCTATTTGGCTACAAAACCCTAATTAATCAATGGCTCATCAAAGTCAAAACCTGATTTGTGGCTTTTTAGGTCTTTCGTTATCTTACAGATTTCTTTTAATTTGTATGTTACTGATTCCCCATTCTATCTAAATTATATTCTAAGAATGACCACATTATTATTACATGAATACGTCACATCACATTGTTTATAATATATGTGATAATTTAAAATAATTACTTTCCCTCAAACACTTAATGTTGAAGTGTATGAAAATGAAAATGAGCTGGGAGTGGTGGCTCACAAAAGACCAACCTAAGCTATGTGATGAAATCCCGGGCCAGCCTGAGCTATAATCCATTCAAAAAACAAAACAAAAAACAAAAAGCAACAACAACAAAGAAAAACAGGTGGGTGAAAATATTCATCAAAATTCTGTTAATAAGAAAGAAATTAGGTGGCTAGGGATATAGTTCAGTGGTAAAGCACTTTGCCTAGCATATGTGAGGGTTTGACCCTCAGCATGGAAGAAAGCAAAG